AACGAAGGTACTGCCCGATTGCACCGCTTGGGAAGCACAGAAGATATGTCATGCTGGTTGTGACTTTATCGTTAAATGCACGTTTTTGGCCTACAAGACAGTATTGGTGCTAGAAAAACTCTAGGGGCTTTCTGGATAAGGCACCGAAATCCAAGCATGAATAACAAGAACGAGTACATCAACATAACTGGTGACCTCTTGCCTTTCGTCCCTCTAATAGCTCTGATAGTAGAGACTGATACGTGTCATGTCACGATACTATTAAAGAGTCGTGTTTGACCGGGCTGTCTCAATTGCTCTATAGTTCTCTAAAGTTGAGCAACCGTTCGGTGTTGGTGGAATTGACGTGAGTGACTTAGTGGAATTTCTACTTAGCTGTAAGTTCAGCGGTCTGGGTTGCAACTAGTTAAGGACTGGTCTACGTCAAGCGTGATAAGTAACACCCTGAAGTTTCGATATTCATAATTGGGAGATGGCGCGGCCAAGATTTCGTACCTATCTGTCCAAAAAGGATAAAGCTCCCCGTTATAGAACGATTGCCGGGATCGACGATTACGCGCATGTGGAACAGAGAGGTTGATTTCCCCACCCTCTATAGCGGATGGGTGGTCATAGGCGTATCCCTCCCCCAAGCGCGGTGGGTCATGCTGATCTGCTTAAGAAGGGAGGCCATTGTCAGAGGGAGCGATAATTAATTAATGCCTGTGGCTATCCTGCCTTAGGCATGACCCACCCGCCATAGAAGGTGAGGGAATCAACTTCCACGGTTTTCCTCGGCACTCTCCGGATTCCGCTCATGACACACCGCCAGCAGCCACCGACGATACAGCAGGGCACGTCGTCATCCACAAAGCACACTAGCGGGCATTTATTGGTTAAATAGTTTTTTAGTTATTGCCTAGATAATGCTTTTTCATACGTTGTGCTCTGTTTGTATAGCAGGAAAATTGTAACATAGTCCAAAAACCAGTGGCCGCCTAGTCATTGGTCGTACACAGGGTGAAAAGGCCTGTCCAAGTTTATCATGTCGACTCACACTATCTATGGTAAGTCGCAATTTCAGAAGCCCTCTTATTCGCGCTGGAAATCGGACATTGGTAAGAGAACCGCGCTGCGCTCCGTTTCTCTGCTTCATCTGCGTCAGCTACTGTTTGGCACAGTTTGATCACCAATGCACTGGTAGATCCTGGAGAAACTTGGTTCATTAGTTGTTCGTTTCTTTCCATCATACAATAATGTATTTCAGACATAGTCGGTTTTGAAACTTAGGAGCGGATGGACAACCGGCTAGAACACTTTAGGTTTAGTGACTTAGCAGGGTACGCGATTTGCACAGATCGATTACTGAACTTAGCTCTCTGATAGAAACTTTACGCGAGCAACTATCAAAATCGCATCCTGAATAATGCTTGTAGGACAAGATGTCATAGAGCCATCCTGAGGCTATGCGATACGAGCTCATTAAGCAATGTTGAAAGGTTCAAAAGGTCAGGCAGCGTTCATTACAATGAAACTGGTAAGCAAACCTCGAGCTACAAATGAAGTCTGAATTTCGACATCATTTTATCTTTGACTATCTAGAGGTCCAATACCTTGTATTCATGATTCTGGGTAGGAGCAGAACAAGGAAAAACGAAAACGCTAAATGCACCGCAAAACATAAGAATAGTGCCATTACTCATTTTTGTAAGATAACAGATTGTCGTTTTCCGAACAAGTAGGAGGAAGAAAGCGACGGGTGATTTGGGCTTGAAAATTGTTTGCCGTAGAAGAGTAGATGACAGTCTCAGATGCTAGTGTCGCTAACTATCAGCACTACCACTCCCAGGCGGAAGTCCTGATTGGTACGGGACACGATACGGTCGGTAGATCGCGGTTTTATTTTTCTCCGAAATTAGACTCAGCCTAATGCGTTTTCACATGAACAAACATTTTATGACTAATCTTTCTAGTTCTCTGCGACTTCCATCTGAACTGCTTTTAAAGATGCTTTTTTGCCATATTGTTTAATATTAATAGTTCCCACGTCACTCGAATCATTTGGACAAGGCAGCATGTCAAAGAGAATTTTCGTAGCGTTTCGAAAACACCGGTAACAACTACTACAGTTACTGGACAAAATCAGCCTAGCTCTCTTATCATCTTGACAGCCATTTCGAATTCTTCACTTGCAGTCGTTGCATCATCTTATCCAACTTCACTGTTTATTCATTCACGTCAACATAGAGATCCTTTCGATTTTCTGTGTTTAGGGAGCTTTCGTAAAATTTCTGATAGTTTGCAGTTTTGTAATGGAGAAACGATTGATCGTGGAATGCTCATCAAAGTGGTCACTTCGTGGTCAAGGGAGTTACAGTCCGTCAGATTCCCTTTTTGTCTACTTCACTCCCAGACAAACTTGGAAGATCGATGAAATTTCGCATACGTACATATCTTCTGAAAAACACAAGACTAGCAGTAATTTTAGACCCCTCACTGTCAAAGCAGAGAAATACGGCAGTTAATGTGGTGAAAGTCCGAGATGAAGAGCTTCAATCACACATGTTCTCTTTAGCTCCGCATGACCAACAGCTTCAAATAGAAGCTAAACTTAAGTGCACTTGGTATATTCGCTATTCATGAAAATCAAATCGTTCGAACCCGCAAAGCTAAAAGGAAACAGACTCCAACAACAATTCTCGAAAAAGGCAAAAAAAAANAAAAAAAAATACGCATGCGCACTGCACACGAAAATACATAGTAGGAGCTGAGCAGATCAAGCACGCAATTATAGTAACAATGGAAGTAGACGGCATAAGTCACATATGATCCAGCTAAATGACTAAAATTAAGTACTAGTAATGTGGGGAAGTCCACGTAGTAGTGATATAATGCAATATATCTGAGTCACGCCATGAAAAGTAATTGCAGAATGTAATCAGACACCTTAACTAATACAATTACCAGTTCATAACAAGAAACGGTTCATCCAATAACAACTTTAACATCAGAAATGTACTTGCAGAGAAAAAGAATTGCTTGGTGAGATAGCCGCGCCATTGAGGGCACACAAAAACCTACATCTTGGGCACAGGCGTTTTAAAATGGTAACCGCGAACTTTCATGCTTATTTCTAAAACTTCTAATTTCTAAACTTATTATCCTTCCTTGAATCCTACTCTGCTGGAAAACCATCCTCATAAAGTTTTTCCCGCCCCGACCTCCTCAAGGTCTCGCTCATTATGTAGGATGCGGCTACATTTCATCTCGATATCTCCTCCCCCTCGTTCCCTTCTTGTTGGCAGCTGGTCTTCACCTGGCCCTGCACCCTTTCAACTGTTCTTTACCAAGGTAGATTTTCTCACAAAGATGGCCCGTCCATAACATAATCTTATCGAGACACAACACCTCCAAACAGGTTTGGAGGATCAAAAAACACGTATGAGAAAGGCTTATACGGTAAAGTCATCTGGGAGCCCAGGCACGGGAATAAAAGCGTATCGTAGAAACATCAGAAGAACGAATACATTAGCAGATTGGAAAAGAAAAAGGAATATATGGTCGATTCGTGAAAAGATTTTGTTCCATTCCTTCTCAACCTGAAACGTTTCGAAGCGTCATTTTCAAAGTACAATTCTCACCTTTGTGTTTGAATCGAAAAAAACTGTACAGGGTGGCGAAAAATTACGTGCGCGTGACATTCAACTTCATTTTAATCATTGTATGAAGCATGCATGCATAATTTTTCCATTAACTTCATTTATGTGGTGCGACAAGTTCGTACCACACCAAAATGTGAATAGAAACGAGCTGTCAACATCGGGTAAATGCATGGGGTGACTATGAAAGGAGTTGACCTGAAACTTGGTCTGGGTTTTGACAACATGGCCTACAAATCTGTTCTGACGGTAGCAAAAATGGAGCTAGAAATCTGGAAGCATCGTTTGTTCAACGGAGAAGTACTTATGGATCAAGCGAATCAAAGTCGGAAAGATCATAGTACCGACTTCAAATGCTAAAGAAAACCGTGGAAAATCATCATCGGAAAAATATGACCAGTATAATCTGAAAAACGCAACAAGCCTACTTTTCACTGCTCGGTCCAGAAATATGTTAGCTACTTAACAACTCGTCGAACGCTTCCAGTGTAAGCTTTTGCCTTCCGGCGAGCATTGTTGCTAAAGACGTGCCCTCAGAAACTTTAATGGAGCAAAGGCTCCGGAACTTTTCAAATTTTTAGTTCATCATTTTGTAGAGCTCGACCGGCTGATTCGAATACCTTGTTAAACGATTAGGATGGGTATGTTGTATATGAAAGATCCTGCTTTATTACATGAAAATAAGTTTTTTCAAGCTTCAACTGGTTGCTGTTAGCGAATGAAATTTAATGGTACCCACATCGATTTTCCGCCACCTTGATCAATGTTCATATGAATATGCACTAGAAAAAAATGATTAAAAAAACGAAGAAAAACTCGAATATAAAACCAAGGTTCTGCCGTTGCATACAGATACATCTACATCATTGCATTGCGTGGTGATTCGTATGCACGAATATGATTGTGGAAGATGAAATTTTTTCGGTCACGTACCCGGTAGTTCCACTGCGTGCGTTCCACTCGTTCTCTATATGTCCGCTGAGCTCGAGACACTTCAGTCAACTGGGTGTAGATGGCTGCTAGATCAGGGAACCGCGGGCTGAAACACAGATCTGCTTACATGTCCCCTTTGTTGTTAAAAACGAGAAGTCTGGTTCCCTCATGATTACATATGGCGAGAAGGGCAAAAGTATAACATAGGAAGCGAAGGGCTATTGATAGGAGCGGTGTCAAGCCTACTAAATCTTTCTTCCCTACTATATATTTTGTGCGAAATAATTAAGGGGTATAACACGAGTAAGGGAAATCTTTGATATGGACTGACCTCTCAAGTCCTTTAAAAAATGCACGTCAACGTAGCATGCTTCAAGAAAGACATCTACGCCTGGGCACTCGCCTGGGCGTACTCGTTTGTTCTACCATTGCATAACTTATGCTCCACATTGTTATACATTTGCAATCGCCTTTGATGGTCTCACTTTTTGATTATGCTCAGCTTTCCATTACTATTCCTACAAAGAAATATAAATGTTTTCAATATGAAGTGGGGGTGATAAGTGGCTCTTGGAGCACGGTGCTGCCTATCGAGAACTCAAGCAGGTTCTGAGCAATCGTCATTTTCTTTGGTCCATTCAAAGATGTTGACCGGTCCCATTACCTAGACCAACTGATGATCTGATTTTTTGTTCTACTGTTCTAATTTTCCAAGTTGGTTGATCAGGACTTTCGGCCGGGCATACCGTTTGGTACAGTTCATTGGAAAAGTGGAAACAATAAGATTTCGTATGTATAAGTTTTTTCCTGCGCCCACAGTAAAAAATTCTTCTTCTTCGATTTCCGTCTCTGGCTGCCGAGACATTGCGTGGCTCTAGTCAAGAAGGTATGCACGGGCAGTGAAGCCGCCCCATCATGGGATTAATGGTACCCATCGATCACACCTGGTTAGGTTGAGTGAGCCAGTGAATGCTCGGAGGTGTACACCTCAGCCCTAAAGCGGGAACAGGTTAGGCTCTTCCAACCCTTTGGACAACACAACAACTTGGCGCTACACCCTGCGCACTAGCCTTTTAGAGGCTTCCCCACCAGGCGCACAGTTCAAGCCGTGGCGTGTTATTTGGAAGAAGAACGCGTCGCGGTACTCTAGCACACTTACTTGAGATCTTGAAAACTCACGACACTGGCACCTTCACCCCACTACATATGACGACCACGATTACCACATCAGCTCATTGCCGACTAAAAGAAACAAACACTGTAAGACTTCAGCAAGCTTGACACTACCATGTACGATGAATAACAGTGTTTTTCGAGACGCACAAACTATAACTAAATAGAAGTCACGATGAAATGTCATGAAAAAAATGAACTCAATGATATCTACAAGTATAACCAGTCGAGCGACAGATAATACTCCTGCGAGAACGTCACAAAATCCCTCCCTGCAACTCCGACACGCTTAGATCAAACGATGCCGATGAGCACGCTGGGCCTGTTTCAAACTGCACGTAGCCTGTGCTGTGCTCGCGCCAGGAGCAATATTTTGCAAGAAGTAGGTTAGCAATTTCGGCAGAGCTGAGTGTCTTCGTAGCCAAGGAGATAAAGTTTTTATATGAATATGTAGTCTCGTCTCAGCGAAATGACATTGCTGACACTGCATGCTGGCACCTTCTGCAAAAGAAAGAAACCTGGGTACGTTTTTGTTTGTTCTGTAGTATCACAGAATAACTGTGCAGATTCTTAATGGTCTTGTTCTCAATCATATTCTAATATTCCAAAGTTCTCTCATGACACACGAAAAGCGTCAAACACCATTATCTATGAAATATTCTTTCTCTTGTATATAAGCCTCCATACAAGGAAGGGTGGTGTTCTTCACATCTGTAAATCCACAATAAACCTTCGGCAAGGTTTCATCTTCAAAACAACTGGTGACCACAGCAGGATATGGTTTCTTCCATGAACACTCGCTGTCCAGATGACATGAGCTTCAACAAAACAATTCTATATGCAACCAACTGCGTGTCGAAAGGAATTGCCGTGGCAAGGTGTAATCAAATGGATAGGTATACCCTGTGCTAGTTTCCCGTTTCCTTTCCGATGGGACACATACGGTTCGATACTGCAGCACCTGCAAGCTTATGTGGTGACACATGCAAATGCCCTCGCTGGACGAATTCATGCTTCATCAATAGTGGATCAAAAACTATCCTCCCAGAGTTGAAGAATTTTCACAGCATCTCCGTCAATACCATCTCGTCTGCTCATTCAACCTTACTTCTACCTGCGACGCAAGAAAAAGAATAGGAACTTCCAATCAAATTCAACTATTCGAAGGTAATCTCCACCTAGTCAAAGAGCTAACAATACGAATTAAAGACTACATAGACAAATACGACTTCGTATGCGTTGACAAAAAAGGATGGAAAAGACCACCAAATACATGCATCAAGGGAGCATCACGCTTTTGCTTTTGCAAGAGGCACGAATGCCATCCAGACGCTCGCCTTTTTTGCAGCTACGACAGTCCAATCGTCCTTCTAGTCATCAATGAGTCAAGAAAAGACAACAGCGGTCGATCCACACCAATCAATGCATGGGGTACAGTAATAAAATCTCTATGGGCATCCCGAAGCGTCGCCAAAATAATAGAAAGGGTCAATTCAGGACCTCTAGAAAGCAGAGAAGAGATGTGGTTATCACTTAAATGCATCAAAGGTGGTCTCTTTTTGTCGACTCGAAAGGCATTTGACGTAATCGAAGTCTGCGTTAATAAATAACCACTGCGTATATGCTCAAGGGACGAAGAAAGAATCCATAACTTTTTCGAGTACCATCATTGTGTACGACTACATCTTTTCGATTAAGGCATATGCGAATGCGCATAAACTTGTGCACGATAGGAATTTATCCTGCAAAGCTCACCCGATCTGCGAAATGCTCCAAAGTACCCTCTGTTGGGAACGACTCTCCAACTCGCAATGCTGGACCATCTGGGAAACCATGCTTATCATGACTTCGATAGTACTTTTTGTCATCTTGATGCCATGGATGTGCTATCTCCCCAAGCTCGTTGGGTTTCTACTCCACTTCGCAATAGTATTGACTTGCGCTACAGCTTGCAATCTTCATCGAAAATCACTGTACCCCCGAAGATACATGTCTCGCCGTCGAGGTTTAAGAAACCGCAGCTTTCTAGCTTGCGTTTTCATAATCTTATCGATCCTCCACCTTTCAAGCGAATGCTCTCAAGTCGACTCTATAAAAACTAGTGGAGAAATCTGTTCCGTAGCGAATGATATTGAGACTGCTTTTTCAACGAGGCAACGGTGATCACGTTACAACCCTTGAAACAGGAAAATTGTATCGCTCGCAAAGACCACAACAATCAATCTGTCGGCATAATTTCAATGAAAATCGACGGCATCTTGTTTCAGTGTCGAAAGAACGTGGAATTTTTCACGCGGGACCACCAGCTAATTTCGGAATTGGTACACAGATGCTACCTAGCAGACACTTGCGACAGAATTACATGCGAAAATATGTCACCAACCGAGAAAAGCAAGGAACTGTACGTTCGCAGTCAACGCCTGTAAGTGCACTCACGGGCTTTACAAAGCTTTGCACATGCAGCTCCGGTAGCGTTGCAGACTTGATGCAACTATCACCTCCGCCATTAATTTCAAAAAACGTCATTGTCTTCGCGGAAAATCAAGAACTGCATGCTAGAAAGAACACTGGATCAGCTCTACAATTACAGCTCATTGCCGAAAATATGAAAATAACTACTCGCCAATCCATCACCACATGTACTATTGGGACAAGTGATCTCAATGGATGCTACAACTGCCTCGAAGGGCCGAATTAAGATTCTACTGCCGATCCAGTGAAAGCGACGTAACCGCTAACATCGACTGCCCTTCTCGAACACAAATAGCAATTTGAATCTCAGATCCCACCTGGACACTTCGACTGTCTCCAAGACATGCACTGCTTCCTGCCCTGGAAGATCCACACCCCTCACAGTGAAAGGCTCACTTCTATATGTTGACGACAACCTCATCAAGAGCGACTTGCAGTCGGGAGCGAATATAAGAGACGTTCCCAGAGACACCACATTTTTAGGTCATCTGTTTGGTAAACACAGAAAATTCGTCAGCGAGTTTCCCAGCCTGTTTCCAACTGAGTTCCTCATGAAAGCCATACACTCTATATTATTGATCTTGTTTGTACTTCAAAATATCTATTCCTTTCTGATACGCTGCATCATTTCAAATGTTCTAAAGAATATCTTTAACACGCTTTTTCGCCGTGGGAGTGTTCTGCAGTATCACAGCATAACTGTGCAGATACTTAATGGTCTTGTTATGAATCATATTCTGATATTCCGAAATTCTTCTCTCATGACACACGAAAAGCGTCAATAACCATTCTTTATGAAATGTTATATTTTGACTCGCTTCAGCTTATTTTTCTTTGTCTTGTATGTAAGCCCACCATATAAGAATAGGGTGGTGTTTTCCACATCTGTATGTCCACATCGATACAATAAACCTTCGGCAAGGTTTCATCTTCAAAACACATGTCACGTAATGTTTCACAATGCTTTGTAGTACAGTTTCGTGATGATGGAGCCGTTCATTAGGTCCAACCTGATAAACGGTTCCATCATAACAAACCCGCAGGGCGAAGTATTGTGGAACATTAAAGGCCCTAATATTGCGACCGTGTTGCTTCTTCCTCCCTTCCTTTCTCTGTTTACCCATTTCCTCTGACGAAGCATTTTTAACCTTCAATCCTAGGCTTTATCCTTAGTTCTCTAACATTAATTTTTTCCTCTTCTTTAGTTGTTGACAAAGGATCACCGTCTTGTAGTTTCTGCTTTTGTATTGTATGACACACCCTTTAGTGTATTTCAATAAACTAAATCACCGAATAATCCACATAATTCACTTTCAACTTCCATATCGCTTCGACTGCCTTTTCACACCTTCTGTTTTGATGCGCTCATTTTGTGTGGTTTTCAATACAAAAACATATGCTCGATATTCCTAATGATTCTCATTCCACTGAATGTGAAGATAGCACAGGAAACGAGTTACTTTCCCATGGGTATCTTACTCCCGGGTTCCGTCCAGTTCTGATCACTCTCCACTCGTGAGCCTACTACTTTCGCACTTTTTCCTATGTTCCTATCTGTTGCTTGATGTTCTCATCTCAGTAATTACGAATAAACAATGGCTCAAGCTGAACGCTATATATTTTGTAAGGCCAAACATGTATACCAGTTATCGTGCAAATATAAACAAACTCACGTGTTTTTAAGGATTTTTTCCGACGGCACAATGGGGCAGATGTTGATCGGTCGCATCGCTTTCGTAGGTGTCAAAGCTAGCATCCTTCAATGCATATGCTATAGGTTCAAATAAACGTTGCTAGAATGCTGATATGCATACTGGTAAGCCATCTTTGATGGTAGTTGTTCGGTTTGGATGTAAGAACGTGACATCCCTAGCAAAGCCATTGAAATCGCGACTCCAATGGCGCAAAGCATTATCACCACGATTATGTAGAATCCTGAAAACTTCACAACAAGGTTCTAATGAACGGAGTAAGGAGTTATACATGAAGATGTGAAGATATACTGGCATAGCAAGAAAAATGTTGTAGTTGTAAATTTGTAGTGAATCTATGGTATGCAGCAAGATAAGCAACCAAAAGCCTGCCATA